CCAGGATCTGAGCCATCAGCCCAGAGCCCGATGCGGGGCTTGAACTCACGGACCGCGAGATCGTGACCTGGCTGAAGTCGGACGCTTAACCGACTGCGCCACCCAGGCGCCCCAAATATAATGTGTTCTAATAGAAAAGAGAAATTTACCCTGCAGTTTGGTAAATACAAACAGCAGTTAAAAATGCCCAAAACACCAAGGTCATGATCTCACAGTTCACGGGTTTGAGTCCTGTGTCAGGCTCTGTGCTGACAGCTCAGAGGCTGACACCTGCTTCGGATTCTGTATCTCCCTCTCTCTGTCCCTTCCCCACTCGGCACTCTGTCTGTGTCTCTCAAAAATAAATTAAACATCAAAAAACTTCTTCTTAAAGCCCATATCAGGGATGCTTGTGTGGCTCTGTCAGTTAAGCAGTCCACTCTTTTTTTTTTTCAACGTTTATTTATTTTTGGGACAGAGAGAGACAGAGCATGAACGGGAGAGGGGCAGAGAGAGAGGGAGACACAGAATCGGAAGCAGGCTCCAGGCTCCGAGCCATCAGCCCAGAGCCTGACGCGGGGCTCGAACTCACGGACCGTGAGATCGTGACCTGGCTGAAGTCGGACGCTCAACCGACTGCGCCACCCAGGCGCCCCTAAAGCAGTCCACTCTTGATTTCATCTCAGGTCATGATCTCACAGCTTTGTGAGTTTGAACCCCATGTCGGGCTCTGCGCTGATTGCTCAAAGCCGGCTTGGGATTCTTTTTCTCTCTGCCCTTCCCCCTCTAGTGCTCTCTCTCTCTCTCTCTCCCCCCCCTCAAAACAAATAAAAAAAGTGCCCAAATTAATTACACATACACACATACACATTGTAGGCTACCACATGTGGGTATGATTAAGAAGAAAGGGAAAAATAGGTGTTCAGGTAAAGCCTGAATTTATCATTGGCTCTCTAGTTTGTCTATTCATCCCTTCACTATGGTCTTGCACTCTCTCTCAATAGCCTTTTTTAGGCATTATGCCCATTCATCATGCTTTTAGTTGCTTAGACAAGTAGTATTCTGCAATGATTATTTTTTCTAAGGTTCTTTATACCCAGATACATGAAAAGACTGATCATTTCTGTAGGCTTTGGTTAGAAGGCACTCTTGATTAATGGCTGAGACTTTTGCTTTCGGAATGGTTTGTTTTGTATCATGGTCTATATGTATTTTCTTTAAATAAGCTTTCCATCTTGCAATATACCGCCAAGGTCTTTGTGTGCTGTTCTCAGTTATCAAGAGCTGTGATGTACTTCCATATGTATTGTTTCATTTCATTTATTGATTCATATCATTTATTGACAAACTTTTACTGACACTGCCTATTATATGGCAGGTGCTTCTAGATGTTGGGAGTTAAAAGTTGGACAAAATTAGGGCGCCTGGGTGGCTCAGTCAGTTGAGTGTCCGACTTCAGCTCAGGTCATGATCTCACAGCTCGTGGGTTCGAGCCCCATATTGGGCTCTGTGCTGACAGCTCAGAGCCTGGAGCCTGCTTCGGATTCTGTGTCTCCCTCTCTCTCTGCCCCTCCCCTGTTCACGCTCTGTATCTCTCTCTCCCCTCAAAAATAAATGAAGATTAAAGAAAATATTTTTTAAAAGTTGAACAAAATATAGACCATCTTTTGGACAAGTTTACTTTCTAGTGGGATATATAAGTGATGAAACAAATAATAATTACCTAATCATGATTAAATGTTACTATGGGAGAACTAAATAGAAATTAGAGAAAGTAGTATTTTATAACACATAAGAACTGGGCTATAAAATGAGCTAGCAGTGGGGCGCCTGGGTGGCTCAATTGGTTAAGCGTCCAACTTCGGCTCAAGTCATGATCTTGTGGTTCATGAGTTTGAGCTCCGCATTGGGCTCTGTAGCTCAGAGCCTGGAGCCTGCTTCTGATTCTGTCTCCCTCTCTCTCTGCCCTCCCCCACTCACGCTCTGTCTCTCTCTTAAAAATAAACATTAAAATTTTTTTTAAAGAACTAGGAGAACTAAAGTATATTATATATGATGAAGGCAAAGACATTTGCATAAAATGAGGCATAATTATAAAATTGTGGAAAAATGTTTAAATTACGTACTTTGAATTATTATTATCTGAGGTAATTTAAGCAATGACATACAATTTCTTTGCCTACTGAATTAGCAGTTTAAAAAAGTGAGAAAACAGGGGGACCTGGGTGGCTCAGTCAGTTAAGACCTCAGACTTGGGCTCAGGTGACGGACGATCTCACAGTTCATTAGTGCACTTGTGCATGCACTCTCACACTGTCTCTCTCAGAAATAATAAATGAATAAACTTTAAAGAAAAAATGTGAGAATACATAATAATACTTAGAACTTGTCAGGGCTATCAGTGCACATATTCTGGCAGCAATCCTCCTTCCCTTTTTTTCAGTAAAATTATTTTGGAAAATAATTTAGACAAAACATCAAGAACAATAGAAAGATTTGTACACTTTGCTTCAAATCCTACTTCTGAGAATTTGGAGATACGTCAAATTATCTTATATTTATTTTTTAACGTTTATTTTTGAGAGAGAGTATGCATGAGTGGGGTAGGGGCAGAGAGAGAGGGAGACACAGAATACAAAGTAGGCTCCAGGTTCTGAGCTGTCAGCATAGAGCCAGACGCGGGGCTCCAACCCACAAACCATGAGATCGTGACCCAAGTCGAAGTTGGACACTTAACCAACTGAGCCACCCAGACGTCCCTGCCAAATTATGTTTATATCCAAGTAAACACTCGTTGCAATGTTCAACAATAGGAGAATAACTGAATTATAATATACATATTATATAAATATTAAGAATGATCACTATTTTTCTTTGCCTGTATTTTCTTATTTCTCTGTAATTCTCATGCAACGTTTATAACTACAAAGGCCAACAATGATACAGAAAATGCTTGTGATATATTAAACCAAACTGCATACAAAGTATGTCTATAACTACAAAAAAAGGAGCACCCCCTCAAAAAAATACAAATAAGCAAAGAATGCAAGAGGATATGCGAAAATAAACCTAGATTTTAATATTAGGGTTTAAGATCATGGATGAAATTTTTCTTATCTGCTGTTTTATTTTTTACATTCAAATATATTTAATGTATAATTCCATTTGTGTAAAGTTAAAAAATAAGCAAAACTGATCCACATTGTTAGCTGTCAGGATAGTAGTTACCTTTGGGTGGGGAGGTAGCAATCTGGAGGAGGTGATGAGATGGAGGAGGCTTTGGGTTGTGAGTAAAATTTTATTTCATCAACTGGGTGGTGGTTACACCCAGTTTTGTTCATTTTGTGAAAATTTATCAAACTGTACACTGCACTTATAAATTGTGAACATTTCTGCATGAATATAATAATTCAAATTAAAAAGTTTAAAATGTTATTTTAAAAGTTGCTTTTAGTAGATCACTCAATTCATACAGATTGCTTTATTAATCATGTAGTAAATTATACAATACTAAAATAATGATAAATATGTGGATATTTTCCAAACTCATAATTACTAGTTAGTAGTAGTCTCATTCTATTAGTTCTTATCACATGGTAACTTTTGAGTTTTTAGGCTTTGTGTCCATTAAAAAAATAAGGGATTTTTAGTCTCCCATAAAATTCCCTACTGCTAACAAAGTTAAATAACTTCATTCATGGTCTCACCATCACACCTTATTACACAGTATTTAAAGTACTGTCTTGTAATCTGTACACATCTGTTTGTCCCAATACTGTAAGTTCCTTAGATAAATCATGCATTCATAACATTTAGCAAAGTAATTGCTCAGAAAACATCACTCACACCTTCCTAACCACTACCAAAAAAGCTAAAACAAAGGAAAAATAAATATCTCACTGAAAAAAATTTCCCATTTTGCATTCTATTAACCAAATTTACAAAAAATGCTGTATTTCCAAATAGAAACTATTGTGACTTCATCAAAATAAAAAGCTTCTGCACAGTGAAGCAAATAATCAACAAAACTAAAAGGCAACCGACAGAACGGAAGAAGATATTTGCAAATGACATATCTGATAAAGAGTTAGTATCCAAAATATATGAAGAACTTACAAAACTCAACACCCAAAAAACAAATAATTCAGTTAAAAACTGGGCAGAAGACATGAATAGACACTTCTCCAAAGAAGATGTACAGATAGCTAACAGACACATGAAAAGATACTCAATTTCACTGATCATCAGGGAAATACAAATCAAAACCACAATGAGATACCACCTCACACCAGTTAGAATGTCTAAAATTAACAACACAGGAAACAACAGGTGTTGGCAACGATGTGGAGAAAGGGGAACCCTCTTACACTCTTGGTAGGAATGCAAACTGGTGAAACCACTGTGGAAAACAGTATGGAGGTTCTTCAAAAAGTTAAAAATAGAACTACCCTATGATCCAGCAATTGCACTAGTAGGAATTTACCAAAAGGATACAAAATTACAAATTTAAAGGGATACATGCCCTCCAATGTTTATAGCAGCATTATCAACAATAGCCAAATTGTGGAAAGAGCCCAAATGTCCCTCAACTAATGAATGGATAAAAAAGATGTGAGAGATATAGATGAGATAGAGATAGAGATATATAGATATAGAGAGGGAATAGAATATTACTCAGCCATAAAAAAGGAATGAAATCTTGCCATTTGCAATGATGTGGATGGAGATGGAAGAAGGTATTATGCTAAGCAAATTACATCACTCAGAGAAAGACAAATACCATGTGATTTCACTCATTTGTGTAATTTAAGAAACAAAACAAATGAACATAAGAGGGGGGGAAATGAGAGGCAAACAAAGAAACAGGCTCTTAACTATAGAGAGCAAACTGATGGTTACCAGAGGGAGGTGGGTGGGGGAATGGGTTAAACAGGTGATGGGGATTAAGAAGGAGGGCACTTGTGATGAACACCCAGTGTTGTATGTAATAGTTGAGTTACTAAATTCTACACCTGAAACTAAATTTACACTATATGTTAACTAATTAGAATTTAAATAAAAACTTGGAAAGGAAAAAAATGCTATCTTTCAACAGGCTTGCAATCTGTTCCAAATGTATGTGAAGCTTTAAGTAATGTTTAACCTTTAGGCAGAAGAAAAAGGTAAGACTATTCCTATTTCTTAAACTTCTTATATAATTATACTTAAAAACTAAGGACAAGCTTAGGAGAGAATTTTGACAGTCTACAATGTTAAAGAGACCATGATTAAGGTCCAGGTTCTACCAGAAAGAGTGACATGGTTCATAGACCAGGCTCTCAAGTTGAAAGCCATGGATGGAGAGGATGGAGAAAATGGGAGAAAAACACTGAAGAGACAGTAACTAAAACATTTTTCAAAATGAATGAAGGGGGGGGCGCCTGGGTGGCTCAGTCCGTTAAGCGGCCGACTTCGGTTCAGGTCATGATCTCATGGTCTGTGAGTTCGAGCCCCGCATCGGGCTCTGTGCTGACAGCTCAGAGCCTGGAGCCTGTTTCAGATTCTGTGTCTCCCTCTCTCTGACCCTCCCCCATTCATGCTCTGTCTCTCTCTGTCTCAAAAATAAATAAACATTAAAAAAAATTTTTTAAAAAAATGAATGAAGGGTACTGACCCACAGATTGAGGAAGTTCTGCAACCCAGAAAACAGGAGGAATACAAATAAAAACATTAGGAAAAAAGTCTTATAATCCATCAGAGAAAGACACACTGCCTTCAAAGAACAATAATAAGAATTAAATCTAACTTTTTCACAGAAACTACATAAGTAAAATACAATGGAATAACATTTCCAAAGTGCTTAAAGAAATCTAGAAATCTATACCTGTAAAATACCCTTGAAGAAATAAATTTTTTTGGAAAAAAAGTTAGGACAAAGCTAGAACACCAACAAACCACAAATCACTTAATATTGTATAATTTTATCTGCCATTTTGCTACACTATTCAGTTTCAAAATATCATTAATTGAGACCATTTTGAGACACTGAAAAATTTCCAAGGTATAGTAATTTGTTAATACACCAAACCATAAACAAGCATTTTCAAATTAAATTTTCAAATAATTTGAAATAGGACAGAGAAAGACAAACTTGTATCGTCTCTTATATGTGGAATCTAAAAATAAATTGTATATACACACATGCCTGCAAGCATTCATGGATACAGAGAACAGACTGGTGGTTACTAGAGAAGGGAAGTAAGGGGTGGGAGAAATGGGTGAACTTTTTTAGTTTAAATAAACTGAATAAAAAATGTTAAAAGAATAAAAAAATAAATTGAATAAAAAATAAATTTTAGGGTTTGAAAGAAACATGGTTTGGATCATATTTTTCTTGCGATCTTCTTTCTTATCATAAGGAATAGGTGTTTATTATTAATTTTTTTAGCTCACCATTCCATGGCTGAACAGATGAACTTTCCTGGCTCTGAACTGGATTTTAAGCAGATTTGTTTTCCATATTATACATAAACACTGTTTTGAGAAAATATCATTTTCCCAAATGTCCTTCAATTAAAACCGAAAGCTTAAATTTTTTCCAGAATGTTTCTCTTCAAGTATCTCTATTAAATAAATCACTGATATAGTACAATAAAATGGGGAACGATTTACAAAGATTGACTAAAGGGGGTATTTCCAAGGGTTTTGATTTTTTCTTTACACTTCTTTTTATTTTCTTTTTTTTTTTTTTTTTTTTTTTTTTTTTAAATTTTTTTTTTAACATTTATTTATTTTTGAGACAGAGAGAGACAGAGCATGAACAGGGGAGGGGCAGAGAGAGAGGGAGGCACAGAATCCGAAACAGGCTCCAGGCTCTGAGCTGTCAGCACAGAGCCCGACGCGGGGCTCGAACTCACGGACCGTGAGATCATGACCTGAGCCGAAGTCGGACGCTTAACCGACCAAGCCACCCAGGCGCCCCAACACTTCTTTTTATTTTCTAAATTTCCTTTAATTAACTTGTATTGCTTTTATAATCAGAAAAAAATTTTTAAGGGATTAAATTACTCATACTGATTGTAATCACCTTCAAATTTCTTAGCCAGTTCTTAGTATAATCCATTGTCAACAGAGTAAGTGTTGAACTAGATGACCTCTAAATTCTTTAGATTATGAGATGAGATCTTACCATCAAGCCACTGGGCAGTTTTCTCTAACAGCCTGGGCTACAAGTGACTCTAATGTCAATGTCAGGACCCCTTGGCCAAGAAGCACAATTCTAGGAACATTACATTTGTTTACCTTGTTGATTTGTTCTGCAGAGTCACTGCTTGTATATTCGTGGGGTGCGGGTAAACTGTGTTCAGTAATACTATGAAATTTAGACACTGACCTGTCTGTTACTGTTGAGACTGAAATTTTCAGATGTGAGAAAGTAAAAATCTGCCCTGCCATTCAAAAGAATGGGACAACATACAAAAAGCAGCTACAAAGTTCACAGGAAATAATATTTCTACCTAGGACGTGCTGCAGCTATAAAATGTCAAAATAACCTCTGTCTTTGAGTAACTACTGTTTTTTACTAAATGATGAACACTGTTCTCTAAAATCATACACTGATTCAAATTATATCACTAGGGTAACAATCCATTCTTGCCTGGAGGATCTAAGTCACTAAATGTACAATTTCTTCTTTTATTTCAGAGGGAGAGAGCACACGCAAGTAGGGGATGAGGGGCAGAGAGAGAGTCTTAAGCAGGCTCCATGTCAGCACGGAGCCAGACATGGGGCTTAATCCCATGACCCTGGGATTATGACCTGAGCTGAATTAAAGAGTCAGATGCTTAACCAACTGAGCCACCCAGGTGCCCTAATGTACAATTTCTAAGTAGCCTCAATTTACAACTAAATAAAGCTTCAAATAAAGAGTTTGTGAAGACAAACTCCCACATTTATCTGAACTCTGTATAGTTTCTAGGAAACAGAATCCTGTGTCCACTTCACAGTCCAAACTTGATACTGATCCCTTTACATTTAGCCTGGCTTTCCTTTAAGTTTATCAAAAACATTGCTTCCTTTACATTTCACCTAAGCTTCACCCTTCCTTCAAATTTTATAATAACTCTATCTTTCCTTAGGTAAGATGTCACATGATTCTTCTGATGTGCAGTCTCCCTTGAATCAGTGATCAATAAACCTGGCTCTATCAGACTGCAGGTTTGTCTCTGATTGTGCTAAGATAGATGGCACAGAAATATGATTCCAAAGATATTAAAACTTGCATTAATAAGAGAGCAGCCTCAGGGTGCCTGGGTGGCTCAGTCATTTAAGCATCTGGCTCTTGATGTAGGCTCGGGTCATGGTCTCATGGTTCCTGAGTTCGAGCCCCATGACAGGCTCTTCACTGACAGAGCCTGCTTGGGATTCTTCCTCTCTCCCTCCCTCTCTGTTCCTCTCCCAATTGTGCTGTTTCTCTCTCAAAATAAATAAATAAACAAAAAAATAAGAGAGCAGCCTCAACCAAACACTGTAGACAAAATACTAGAATGTGAGCAAACAGACAAATTAAAATGTAGCACCAAGGACTTATTATAAAGAGGATACTAAACAGAAGAACAATATGTGTTTCAGCTACAAACTGGGCTTGGCTGCTTCCATGGATATAATTCTGGGGGGAAAAAAGACAAAATTAAATCTTTAAACATACATTAACTTTTGGTATTCTAATCCTAAAATGGGCTATTTTCAATTCCTATGAAATTATTAATTTACCTGATGTATACCAGCACTGGATCTGTGGTATTCATCAATAAGTAATTTGGACAAAATAAATATTATTTCTGTGTTTTTATTCATTTGCCTTTTCATTGTACTTATACTATGTTTTCAACAACAGAACATATGAGAAAACTAGTATTTCAGTGTACAAGACCATGAGGTATAATAATGTAAACTTCATGAAGACAAAGATTGTTTTTCTTCTTTATCACTATAATACTTAGCACAGTGCCTAGAAACGGTACATGCTCAAGTACTAGATCAATTATTCTATTTAGTTCAAGTCTGACTTTCATAGTCAGCCTAGTCAAAAGGACTCACCAAATGGGATAAGGAACTTTCCACTTTTTTTGTTTTTTAGGAACTTTCTACTTTTAAGAGAACTTTTCAGTAATTGAAGCTCAGTATCAGAGAAATTAAAAGGTAAAAACTAAACCTAGGTCCTTCACATCCTGGCAATGATGTCACAAAATAATTATTAAAGTTAACTTTGGTATACAATGGAAAGAAATTCCAGACTTCCCTTACCACATGTCCTGTGTGGGGATTCTTATGAGCATACGGTGGTCCTCTTATATGGTTCCACATTTGACCTGATGTCATAGCAAGCACAAAACACTAAAAAACAAAAAATAATGAAATACTTATACAATATGGTGCAGCTGCTCCCACACTGATTAACAGGTTTATGAAAAGTGTGTCTACTTAAGTAATATGTGAACAAAATTTTTTCAGATAAATGATTTTTGATTAAGTCTTGTATTTCACAAGAACCAATAATAGTTATTCTGAAAGGAAAACCCTATTCTAAAATTATAAATAAGCTGACACAAGTTTCACAATTGAAAACTGAAAAGTCTTTTAGAATATTTTCAAAGGGGGGCACCTGGGTGGCTCAGTCTGGTTGAGTGTCTGGCTCTCTGTTTCCGCTCAGGTCATGATCTCATGGTTCAGTTTGGGAGTTCAAGCCCCGTGTCAGGCTCTGCGCTGGCAACCCAGAGTCTGCTTGGGATTCTTTCTCTCTCTCCTTCTCTCTTTCTCTCCCTCTCTCTCTGCCCCTCACCTGCTGGTGCTCTCTCAAATAAAAATTAAAAAATTTTTTGAGAGAGAGAGAGAGAGAGAGAGAGCGAGAGCGGAAGAGGGACAGATAGAGAGGGAGACACAGAATCCAAAGCAGGCTCCAGGCTCTGTGCTAATAGCACAGAGCCCAACACGGGGCTCGAACTCATGAACCACGAGATCACGACCCGAGCTGAAGTCGGACACCTAATCGACTGAGCCACTCAGGTGCCCCAACATTAAAAAATTTTTTAATACAAAAGAAAATTAGAAAAAAAGAGCATTTCCAAAAGAAATGCATATTTTCATAGGGGTGAATAAAAACTGAGTATGAGTTTCTCCAAACCCTGGGCATCCTAATGAGATAATGGAGGAAAGAAACTGATTTTAAGGCATGAAATAAAAACATATAAAATCTCTTCTCACAGGTAAGAAATAAACTTAATGCTACCTAACTATACTATATTGTATGCAAACAATTTTTGTTCTAAATTTACTTACCAAGGCTGCAAAAGCCCATCCAGTCTTATTGAAGAGAAATTCCATATTGCTTCTTCGAAGATATACGAGTCCACCAATAACAGCCAAAAGCAATCCCAACATAAGAGGACCAGCATAATTTGGAGGTCTAATTACTCTAATCTAATGGAAAGGAAAGAAAAATGTTTTAAAGTATGAAATTTATTTGTTAATTATATAGGTCAAACTGATTTGAAATGAAAGCAATAAAAATTAGTGTGGTTATCGTTGTGATGAGCACTGGGTGTTGTATGAAAGTGGTGAATCATATTTCACATGTGAAACTAACATTATACTGTATGTTAACTAACTGGATGTTAAGAAAAAAATTTTAATGTTTATTTATTTTTGAGAGAAAGACAAAGCACAAGCGGGGGAAGGGCAGAGAGAGAAGGAGACACAGAATTGGAAGCAGGCTCCAGGCTCTGAGCTGTCAGCACAGAGCCCGATGCAGGGCTCAAACTCACATACTTACTGTGAGATCATGACCTAAGCTGAAGTTGGATGCTTAACCGACTGAGCCACCCAGGTGCCCCAATAAAAATTTTTTAAAAATTATTTCAAATTCTTTCAGGAAAAATTACACTTCTTTTCTTTTCATCCTAATCAAAATAGTCTATAGTATATCCTAAAATGGGATGGGATAAGTACAACATTCTGCTTACAACATAACATCTTTTAGATTAAGATGTATTTGCCAAGTTGGGATGCCTGGGTGGCTCAGTCGGTTGAGCGTCCAACTTCGGCTCAGGTCATGATCTCACGGTTCGTGAGTTTGAGCCCCGCATTGGGCTCTGTGCTGATAGCTCGAAGCCTGGAGCCTGCTTCCAATTCTGTGTCTCCCTCTCTCTCTGCTCCTCCCCTGCTCACACGCTGTCTCTCTCTCAAAAATTAATAAAGATTAAGAGGTATTTGCCAAGTATCACTAGATAGTCCATGGACTTAATGAGGTCAAAGGAGTGGTCTCCATACTGAATTCAAGAAGGTGATATAGGATGTTTTATAATTTCACTCTTTCATCAGGATGATTCTGTTAAATGCTACTTTTGAAGGGGCTACTGAACTATTACCACTTCAGTGATATGGGGAGGAGACCAATTAGGACCTCCCGTAAGACTTGAAGTGGATAATGGCAAAGTAACTTTCTACAAAGTAGGGAAACTTACATTGACATCAGTTCTGTCAGCAATCCACCGGGCAATCTGTTCAGCTGAAAAACCACGCACCTGCAACTCATATGTATCACCTCGTTTGGGTTTCCCTTTTGCAGGAAAGTTGATGAAAGTTGGAGCTGAATTCATGTTTAGCTGAATAAAAAGAAGTCCATGAAAATATAAGTTATCAAGAAAATAATCTTAACAGCAAATATTTTCTTGAAATTTAGGCATCTTAAGGAAAGTGGTAAGCGGTGGAGTCAGGATTCAAATCCAAGGCGGCCTGTGACCTTAATTAATTAGTACACTTTACTGACCAAATATTAATTCCTAGCTAAGTAGTCTATACTTTCTACTTTAGAATGGAAAATCTCATATATCACAAACATTTTCATCTGTTCAGAAATTATGCAAAAATAATACATTTGTGAGAACTAAAATTGCCTTATGTAGCTGGACTAAGCTCCAAATAGAGTACATTTTCAATCTGGAGAAAACAAGACAGTGCTCTAAAACTGCAATGAAATACATACATACATATATACACACATACATACATACATAACACTGCAGTGAAAACCATCAAAATGGTAGTCATATGCAAAAACAGTTAATTCTAAAAGGTTCATAAATGTTTACTGATAAGCATCACATTTTTCTATTCTCTATAACGAGATGATGGTATGCTTAAAGAAGACAACATTGGAATTGCTAAGGTAAAGAAACCATGACTGACTCATCTGCATTGTATCTTTCCTGATATGATATAACTGTATTTGTGGAAAATACAAAGTCTGAGTAAGTCCAGGGAAAAGATGCTGACCAACTGATGCAAACATTCAGGTCCCTCAACAGGTAATCCAATAATGGAGATTAGCTTGTATAAGACAACTATAATTTAACGACATCAGCCAATAAAATAATCCAACTCCCTTGCTTTGATTCTATACTCACAATAGAACCCTCTAATAGTAATTTTTTAGACTTTCCCATAAGGAAGAAAAGTATAGTGATTAGTCGATATGATTATTTGGTCTCCTTGGCAATATAATATGGCAAATTAATGAATGAATAGATTAGTCCCTTATTTACCAACATCCATGTGAGTGTGCACAGTCTCCAGAACTAGGTAAATTCTGGCTACGTTGTTAAAATTCAATTTCTCAATTTGAAAAGCTAAGAACCTTGGGGCGCCTGGGCGGCTCAGTTGGTTAAGTGTCCGACTTCAGCTCATGTCATGAACTTACAGTGGGTGAGCTTGAGCCCCACATCAGGCTCTGTGCTGACAGCTCGGAGCCTGGAGCCTGCTTCAGATTCTGTGTCTCCCTCTCTCTCTGCCCCTCCCCTACTCATGCTCTGTCTCTGTCTCTCTCAAAAATAAACAAACTTAAAAAAAATTGAAAAGCTAAGAACTAGACCCTGGACAGTTTTCACTCCATCAAACTGTTGCCCAAATTTTAGGCCAAAGTCTTTTTCTTTTTAATTTTTATGTATGTATGTATGTAATCTCTACACCCAACACAGAGCTCAAACTCATGACCCTGAGATCAAGAGTTGCATACTCTTCCAACTGAGCCAGCCAGGCACCCCTAGGCCAAAATATTCAATAGTTAACTATATTACTTTTGGATTCATAAAAAAATGCCTAAAAATACAGGTAATATATGAATCTATTTCCTCTATAAAATTAAAAAAAAAGTTTACAGGGTTATAAGGACCAACAATTCTAGCAGCCACTATTATTATTTCTAAACCTTTTTGAATTTATTCATATATGTGTGTGTATACCACAGAAAACACAAATATTGCTTTGTGTCCACTTTAACACAAATGGTATCATATTAACTATCATATTCTGCAATTTGCTTTCTATGCAGCCATGTTTGAGGGATCTATCCATGATAGTACATATATAGCAACCTCTTTCTTTTTTCTTTTTTTTTTCATTCTTTTAACCAAGTTTTATTAAGCACCTATTTTGTACCAGGTAACAAAATTAAGAAATGTACTTAAATTGGCAAGGGAGCAAACTTCAGCACAAGCCTGTATTTACTGGTGGATCAATGAAACCCAAACCCTTTCTGGCAAGAACCTGGCAAAAAAGCCCAGCCGTGACCTGGGCGTAGAGCCGTCGTCACCCAGTATATGCTTTGACTTGCAGGGTCCTCAAGTCAGGTGGCACGTTAAGGAGACTGAGATGCAGCTACCTCTCTTTCAGGGGCAAACAGAGAGACGTGACCTGCCTTTTGCCATGCAGCCAGCACCCAGCCACCCAGCCACCCAGCCAACGCAAGGCTTGAACGGGGCTGGGAATTAAGTTTACAGCCATACCTGCATGTGCCTCTGTCCCATGCAAACTCAAACTCTCCCCAGAACCAAGATGAGCGCCTTCCAGGTAGCCCTTGTCCCGTGCCGCCCCGGGGGAGCAGTGCTGGCCTTTCTTTTTTTTTTAAGTTTATTTATTTTGATAGAGAGAAATTAAGAGCATGAGCGCGGGGGGGGGGGGGGGGGGGGG